ATATATGAATGTATATATGTATGTATGTATGTATGTATGTTCATGAGAAACGGATTGGTACCTGATGCTCCTTTCACGTTAAACGGAACGAATATCTCCGAATGCTCTAGCTATGTGTATCTAGGTCGGGAAGTCAACATGATGAACGACCTAGCTCCAGAGCTGTGCAGAAGGAAACGCGCCGCGTGGGGAGCATTTAAGAATATCGAGGGAGTAGTGAAGAAGACAAAGAACATCCGGCTCCGCGCTCACCTTTTCGACACTGCTGTCCTTCCTGCTTTGACGTACGCCTCGGAGACCTGGACTCTACGAAAGCAGGATGAGCATGCTGTCAGCGTTATTCAACGCGCTTTGGAAAGGACGATGCTCGGAATTTCCCTATACACGCAAGTGCAGAAGGGAATCCGGAGTTCCGAGCTCCGTCACCGAACGAAGATCAGGGATGCCGTTGATTACGCCAAGAAATCGAAGATCAGGTGGGCCGGACACGTTATGCGATATAGTGATGACCGTTGGACCAGGGCGGTTACTGACTGGATCCCTCGGGACATCAAACGAACACCAGGAAGGCCGCCAACGAGATGGTCAGACTTCTTCACGAAAGCTCTGAACGAAAGGAATGTTGAACCTCGTGTCCCTGAAGCGAGAACGGTTCACTGGACCACTTTGGCTCGTGACAGGGACGAATGGAGACGTTACTGGCGCCCGCTCGAGGATTTCGATGATCAACGGGACGACAGGTGATACAGGTGATTGCGCTCACGTCGACAACCGCAAGGATTAAAAGAACTTTAGTAGGGAAAGCCAATCACTGCGAGAAATGAAGAGAAAAACAATTAAATGATTCGTTTATATTACTTACAAGCATTGATTGGAACATCATAACGAAAACGCAAATGTGGCATTTTCTTAGCAGAAGGTGTGCGACTAGCATTACGAGGATCCCAATGAAGAGGCAGTCTGAAACGACAATCAGGTAAGTCAAACGAAAGTATATGGCAGTATATGATGAGTTTGATACCTCTGTTTCTTATGGCTTTCCTCAATATTTTGCTTAATAACATGTGCAATCGACGAATCATCGAATTTTTCCAGTTGCTCAACAGTCTAGAAAGTATAACAAGCATTAGATCTGAACCGAGCACCTTTGAGGACACAGTTCCAAAAAAATGTTTTTTAAAACAACCCAATGAGACTAGCGAGGCCAGGGGGAAAGTAATACCTTCTTGAGCTTGTCCTCATCAATTCTCTCACTCTCAGATAACTCGTCATCGGATATTTCGTTCTCTATTGAAGATGTTGACAATCGTCGCTTCAATTCTAAATGGAATTGTTATTAAATTGCATGGAACTGTTATTAAATAGTGAAAAGCATTCATAAACCAACCTTCTACAGCATATGGATAAGGAGGAGCTGGAAAATCGTCTCGCTCAATAGCGGGAAGCTAAAAAAATCAACCATAAAAATTTTTAATTAATAAAAACGAAGAGAATTAAGGAGCTGACCTTGTCTGGATCCGGCGCATGACCAGCAGGATAATGTGCCATTTCGATCGGTTCCTCGTTATCCATATGAGGAGACTTCGGTCGTGGCACATTTTTCTCCAGATCTTCCGCTGAAACCAGTTCCTGTTGAGAATCACTTCGAGCAGAACTATTTACCGTTTTTGACAGTGACTATGGTATGCACCGGCTTTACTTCTATGAAAAGCCCTCATTAAATATCGTTTAATGAAGTAAGAATTAGGCCAATTCACTTACTTAGACGCTGCATTCCCGTTTTGAGCATAGAAAGACGAGATTTACGAATCTTAATTGGACCTGAAAGCGTCACATTCATCGAGTTAGAGCACTGCGTCGGCCTAGACAAATTTTTCGAGAAAACTGTGAATACCTAGAGGCACATGGAATTGCGGTGCATTCGGTTCTTTCGGATTTGTTATCGGATGACGCAGATACGTCTGCTCCGCTTCAGGCAGCAGATACATGTAAGTAAGGTGCTGTCCAAAAGCTGACTGATACTTCGGCTCGTTTCGAGAAGACAACGATGCGCTCTTTGCCGTCGGCTGAAACATTCTTGAGGTAAGAGCGTTCCCTTATGTCGGTCATCTACAGAAAGAATTGCAAAAGAATATTTGGAATTATTCCAAGAGAAAACTACTCAAAAATTTTGTAGCTATAACAATCAGTTGGATATTGGCTCAAATGGTACTTCGCAGCAACAACAGGAATAGCTGTTTTTCAGAGCACCTCTATTGAAACAACGAGAAAGTAGGAGGGAGCCAGGAATGCCGTCTAATTCGCATACCTTGCAATAGTGTACTGTAGGAATGCAATCTCATTCTTACAGCATACTACTGCGACGACTCATTCATAAAAACAGCCTTTTTACGAGAATGGCCTAGATTTCTTATACTTGTATGAACCGAGAAACTGGCCAAATAGAATTTCCTCATTCTTGCCAGAATACACTGATTAACGACCGACAAAACAAAAAAAATCGTTGTCAAACCCCTCGAAATTTCGAAATCCCTCAACCGGTTCGAATACCGTTCCCTTCTTACTAGACAGAGGGCTGTAGGTAATACGCGGGAAGGTGGCAGCATCGTGTAATTATGGCATATCCTGGAATTCCTGCTGCCCCTTCTAAATGCCTGATTAAATCAAATCGCCCATCCTCAAAAGATTCGAGCAAAACTCTAAAAATGCTACAGACTGAAGCTTCTGGTCTACAGTGCCCTTTCGAAGAATACATCGGAACTAACCATTGTACTTAACGCTTCTTCCGAAAAAATATCTTGCCACTTAAAAAAACATGGCTTTCTGAAACGGTTCTCACAAATAACCGTACCCATGTTTGCTCATCAATTGCATTCGACTACACTGTTCCCTAGGTTTTTCTTTTATTTATAGAGATAGAGTTTCTCCCTTTTCCCATTGCAGCGGGAACCGCAATTCTACCCGATAATGATGACGCCAACTTGGATTCTATAGAAAGGAAGGGATTTCGGAGATGTGGAAAAGTATGAAGTTCTAAGCTTGTGGCACATTATCTACCTAAAAACTACACTGTTAAGGCCATTACTCTTACTATAAATTAACTACCAAATTATATTAGTACTAGGTTGAGTTGGGAGTGAGTGTTCCAAATACCTACACTAAAGCCACAAATAAGAATAAAGGACAAAGAACAAGAACAAATTGAAATAAGAATTTGTTAAATAGAACTGTTCCTGAACTTGGAAGTTTTTTGAAGCCAACGTTTAGCTGCTTTCATAGTCCACGACTTGTCGCGCGATCGGTCGCGGGCCAAATCTGGACTGTGAAAGCAGCCTTCCGGGCTCTATATAGCGGAGGGTTTATGGTTCGTTTTAAAACACAAATCATCAGACTATATGTGCCAAATATGGAAGAGATGGCTCAACGACATCGAAAAATTTTAGATAGAGCAACATGAGAAGCGAATATCCTTCCACTACTGTAGGAATGCATACAGTACCCCTTGTGGCTACGGCTTTTCATACGCTCATAAAATTGATGCCTGCCGGCAACAAGTAACTAGTCAAACACTTCTTCGACTAAGAGTTCCGCTGAGTTACTTTATCTCGGTTGAACCATCCGTTTCAACCTATAAGCAAGATCACAGCGCAATAGCGCTTCTTTGGAGAAATCCTAAGCGTTTTTTTATCGAACGTCCTTGCCATTTGCATATATCCTGTGAAATAGCCTGCGCATCCAATAAATAAAAAAAAAGAGGCGCTCAGGTTTAATTGAATTCCCCTTTCAACGGACAGTCTACCTGATGGAAGGAGAAACTCACAGCAATATTTTCCGTGGTTCGAGAGTGCTCACATGATGGATGCCAGATTTCGTCCCCTTGCATATACATTTCTTCACCATCCCCAAAATGTAGTCCACATCGAGAACACCTTGCGCACGTCGGGTGGAACTTATAGCCTCCGGCCTGAAAATAATACTCCAGTAATGTTTTAAGGATTGATCCCATTTTGTTGAAGGAAACAAATTTCTCCCAAACAAGTTCTGCAAAATACAAAAAGTACAACTATTCTGCATCGTAATTCTGTCTGTAACTCAAGGCTGCACCAGTTACAAGCCGTAGGAACTCGGCAAACAAGAGATTTCTGGTGCTTTCATTTCATTCAAGTGAAAAACTGTCATCCAAACAAAAAGAAAGCCCTCAGAGTAGTTAATGTAAACAAACGTGAGTAGATGCCGAAGCTCTAAGCTTCACAAACAACGTGCAGCTTATGGTGAAAAAAGTACACACAGATAAGTAGAATCAGAAGGAATTTGCATGGGAGGGTAATTATGAATTATAAATTAGAACTCGGGTATTAAAATTAAAATCAATATTGCTAGTAACCGAAAATAAATATCAAACTCAATACTTGATATCAACCAAAATCAAAAGTAAACAAAGTAAACAACATGTTTCACCAACGTTTTCATAGGTCAAGTTGGCTGGCTCAAGGACCATCGTTGAGATGCGAGCGCATGTGACTAAGCACATTAAAGGTTCGCGTCAACCCCCCCCCCTCTCCCCAGTCCTTTCAATCAATACGACATCTGATCTACTCAGTTACTGAACCGTCGCGCACTACATTCCTTCCAGCTGGGTACCGGAGCAAAGAATTATTGTTAGGCTCTGACTCTCTTCTTTTTTGATCACTTTTTTTCTTATTACAAAAGAAAATGTGAGATCCCTATTTTTCTTTATAGCATCTAGTAAGTTAATTAGAACTAGTTATCTTCCATTCCCTCCCGGTACTGTGCCCAAATTCATCGGTATCCTTTTGAACCTGGAGATGTTAGGACTTAGCATCGGAAGGGGCCTCGACCTGAACGCGGTTGTTTGAGAACAGCTTGAAGTTGATCTACGAAAGCAGAGCAGAGGTCACAGCAGCTCTTAGATCACAACAATCGATACTGCTCGAGCATGAGTTGATCGGAGCAAATCGCACCAAGTCAATCACTATTTCAAGGACCCGAACTTCAGAATCAGGATATGCCCATAAAGAGAAAAACACGCCCGAACAAACAAGTCCGAGTTTTCTGGTACTACATTCACATCAGGCTAATGTTTATAAAAACTGAATCAAATTGAACAACTAGGAGTGGCTAACATGTCCTGGAGCAGATCCCCTCGTCCAGCTCAGGAAGAGGCCAGAATGAAATCTACTAGCTTTTTCTTCAGTCATTTTTACCCATTTAATTCACTATTTTTTCTGTGATTTCGTAAAATAGATTAGATTTCTCTTAGATTGAAAGATTAATTGGATAGATAGAGCTGTAGGGGCAGCTGGACGGACAGATTTCTAGCCTGTATAATCAAGTGCAGAGAACGATTCTTCTGCAGCAAATATACCACGAACCCTTTGCCGCTGCGGCGATTCAACCCACGCCCGCCACTCCAGAGGTCCTACATGTCATCTCTTCCGATCAAGTGTGTAAATATGCAAACATGAACGGAAGATGATAACAAGCTATCATACCTGCAACACTTTGCCAGCAATGAATTTATGGCATTCATAACATTTCACACCATGTCGCTCGTTATAGTCTCGAAGGCAAAGCGGTTTACCATCATGTGACATATACTCTCCATGTAACACTGCACCACATTCACTGAAAAAAAAAAACAATATCTGATTTCGCAGGTATAATAAACAAGTAAAAACATATGGGAAAAATAAGAGCGACTATGAAGTGACTGATAAGATAACATGAGAAGCATTGTAAACAACTAAACAATACCTGCACTTGAAGCAGTATACGTGCCATGATAGCCCAAGTGCAAGCAGGACTTGGCCAGAATGGAGCGGCTGATCACATGCCGCACAGTCTGCTGAAATGGCAAATTTCAGAAGAGTCCCCCATCAGTAAAATACAATTATTCCTCATGATCACTTAGGATTTCCATCATGAATAGGTTCAGTACACATCACCTATCCAGACCTATTTACACACCCAAATACTTCAGATATAGAATGATAGTCTGTGTTAGTACTTGGAGCCAGATTTCGTTAGCTCTACATACTAGCCTACTATTAACAGAACTAGAAAGTAACGAGGCTAAGAAGACCGCGCAGTTTATGACCATCACGTAGGATATTGAATGGCATATCTTATTTGCAATTTAGATAGAAAAAATTACTTAAAGATTCAAGTTTGGCCCGGTATAGGTGTTTTGATATTTATTTTAACTGTTTGTTTATTTATTTTTCTAAATATTCTTATTTCACTTTTGATGGCATTCAAATTCTGTGGCCATCGCAGCCAATTGAACTACCCAGAGTAGAAGGAAAAACCTTATTCTACAGAACTGATTCCTCTTTAATTCTTTGTCTTTATTTCTTTTTTTAATCCTTAGCTGGCCCCAATTATCCCCCCCCCCTTAGGACCACACATTCCAGGACCACACATTAGCATTATTGTCGAGTAACACTTTCTTTCTGAAAACCGCTAAGTCGTCAAAAGCTTCGCTTAAAACTTTCACAGTTTATGACGTGTAACCCCGCCCAAGCCAAACAAGTTTTTCGTCATTCCGGGGCGACCTATCCAAGAGAAAAGTCAAGCTAACTCGTACACCTTTGCTTGACCCTTACAGAAATATCCACATGAATACGACTGGGCAAAAAAAGGTGTCACGTTTTCTTAAGGCGATATCTATGGCAACGGCAGAATGTTCTCTGCTTTCTGTTCCAAATGATACTGAATGATACATTCGTGTTAAGGCTGTTTCACCCCCGGATCACTCATTTCCCTTGCTGCCCCCTAGTACTAGACGAAATTATGCGGCCGGGGGACATTGAATGACCGCATCCACTCGCTGCATGCAATCCGATGCGCCACAATGCCACAAAAACACAAGTCAATAGCGAGCCGCCGACTGGCCCCAAGCTTGGACGGGCGCCACAATCCACAATGAGCGCCCGTCCCATTTATACGAAACTCCCCCCATCGCAGCCTATGAAATATGTCCGAACACATGCCATTTGAACAATTCTTGGATCGATAACCCATATATAGTGATAATTCGCTTGCATATGTACAAATCCTAAGAAAACAGCCACTGCTGCCATACATACATGGACAAATTAATCAGATTACCCGCATCCAATCAATCCCAATTATACCAATCTATGGAGAGCCATAACTGTGGTTACGCATGGCGAAGGGAAAGACATCTGCCCCTTATTTATAATGGCCCACACATACCACTTCAGCAGAACACGCGATGTGTTTATCAGTTAATTAGCGTATAATTTCTCTGCATAGAGATAATCGGGAACCCCGGATAAGCAAAAAACAAGCTGGAAATGTGTCTAGGCAGTCAATGTGGGGCATGAGCGTAACATTTGTGCGTACGTGCGAGCAAAACCGGTTCGAAATCATGAAACGGCATCGACCAACGACATTTGACAAATTACCAGTATTAATTAAACCAACCACAGTTCAAAAACCAATTGAGAACAATGACATTTCTCGCCTTTGAGGCTTTCATTGCACGTAATTCGTGAGCAAAGCCCGGTTGGGAAGCAAAAAAATCGTTCAGCGCAACGAAATAGATGTTTGCCGCTTCCCACCATAAATCACAACGAATAGCAGATGATGAATATCACATATGGAGGAACATAATGCTAGACGATAGATGATATGGAAGGGAAACATGGAAGGATGAATGCAAGAAACGACGAAAATGAAGTTTTTTCAAAAAAAATATTTTCCGTAGGGAAAAACCGTTGGCATATCTGTTATTTTTAGCTCTCTTCCTTCCAGTTTGGAGCAAACCGAATCCAGAAAAGTAATATTGGCAGAAATCATAATGGTTTATGGGCTACTTCATGTTGTACGCAGTCTCTTTACACTTTGACACAGTTGTCTACCTCCAATGTTTGATTACCTAGTTACCCACGTTCCCGTTATGCGTTCTCAACCTTACGAAGTGGCACTGCTCTTATAAGACGCTAATGTGGAAGGTAAAATGAAGTATAATACAAGTAAGTAAACATCAGAACTAATACTAAGACGAAAGAATGGTAGTGCGACATACCAGATGGCGATCCTAACGGTGAAAGTTCCTCGGATTCTTTGACGTTGTTAATGGTTTGCTCGCCATTAACTGCCGCCGGTCTCGAATCAACATCTGGCGTTTTAGATAACGTCGTCTGACGTGTTGTAGTTCCACGACCAATAGCTCGGTAGTCTTCTGGGCAGAGGTACGAACCATCGGCAGCTGTGTAGAAGCCCGACTCGCCAAGAGGTCGAGAACATTCTAAAAACAAAAAAAACCAATAGCAATTTGTTTGAATGCTGCCTCCCCGTCGAGTTTATGCAATTACTTGATGCTCGGCAAGCTACTTGCAGTGCCAACACTCCTTCTTTAAAAAAATTTGATCTTGCGCGATTTTATGGGCTTATGAGGAATTTATAATCAAACAGCAATTCGACACAAAAAATTAGCCGGTCCTTCTAACCGGTATACGCTACTGGTTAATATCGCTTTCAATAACCGCCGCATACGCCACTCCAGGGCAAAAAGGAAGAATTCGCCTAAGCGAATCATCAAAAGTCAAAATATCAGCAAAAAAGGGGGGACTTCAAGGTGCAATAAATGGAAGACAAATTTGTAGTACAGTGAAGATGGGCGATCATTGTCGATAGGCTAATTCCAACTTGGAATAAGACACATGTATGAATAGATTCATCGTTATTGAATTAGCTCGTTCACAGAGGCTGGCAGGTCCACAAGAAAAAAGTAGCGTACAGTGAACTGAGTCATCATCCTTACATATGGCATCAATATAAAGGACAATAGGCAAGAAGTGAGCAGCATTTGAAGATAAATATTGATAAGAAATGAATAACCTTTCGATTCAATTGACAAAAAAAACGAAAAAGAAAACCCACGTTTACATTGGAAGCATTGAATATGAAAGTATTTGTCATTTGCCTTCAGCACATCACCCGAACATTTCTTCTTGCAGACTTCACACTTCTTGCCTGGAACACAGTGTGGCTCTTGGATTTGATTTTTTTTTCAAAGAAGATAAACAGCCCTCAAATACAGCTTTGTAAAAGCTTTAGGATTACGGTAAAACACATGGCTTAGTTATTGTGGAATTTTAAAACAATATGACAGAAGTATTTAAAGAATCACTAGAAAGGATAGCTATGGAAAAGTGTTAAAGCCAAAAAAAGAAATCGCTCACGAAATCCTTACTGATAAAGAAAAAAACAAAAACGGACCAGAACCTCTTATCAGTCTGCTATCAATCGGGTCTAAGCAACTATTCTGCTTAAATAAAGGTCTGAAACTAACACCCCAAAAACAAATAAGCAGATTTTCTAGAGATTTCTATGAATGATTTGGTTTCTACAGCCCAACCTCTTACTGGCATTCACTGTAATATACAAAAGTTTACCAAAAGATAGTTATTGTGAATCAACACAGTAGCATTTAGTAAAAAGTTAACGGTATATTACTGAACAATGTGTACAATTATGCCTGAATGACTCCATTTTCATGGAATTGACGACCCGTTAGTCCCTATCGTTTCTAATTATAACTTAAATATTATAGAAATTACTAATGAGATGTTAGCAATAATTTTGCAAAAAAGGAATGCCTTCAATACTTACAGCTACTGTTATCATTTTTATAACAAGTAAAAGAAGTCGAAGTTTAAAAAAAACCAAAACGGCATATCCGTTACATGGTGTGGCGCGCCCCAATCAGGGTCACCTTAAGCGTGCTAAAAGAACCTCGTGACCTTTGACAAAATGGATATCCCTACTCGCATGTAAACGACCTCATCAATGTTGAATAGTACAGGTGAATACTAGTAGATACTTAAAAAGAAACGCAAGCATCTGATAGAACTTATGGCTTGAAACAATTCGCCTTTTCGTCAGAGCCTGATTGCCTTGTTAGAACATTGAAACAAACCGGCTGGTCTCAACCTGTTTAGCAAGCATCATAAAATGTCCTCTAGATGTCCTTATGGCTTTAGCAACCACGTTTTTCATAAAATACGATGAAAACAAGCGGACTTTTGGATTGTGCCCGCTACCCAGGCTGTAACGACAGGTGCACGGTAGGCTATACCTTAGGTAGGTTCTAATTACTGTATAGAGAAGACTGACAAGAGATCCTAGTTGTACGATCAAAGTTTGTAAGAACGTACCCATTGGTGCGGCGTGGCGAGTGTGTCGCAGTCGTCGCTCTGCAATAATCGCTCGACGGCCACCGCCTCGCCTCGACTGCAACGCTCCGATCGATATCGCGCTCCGCGGCGGGGCGGCGCCCGTGATGCAACGAAGCGGCGACCACGACCCGTCGCGGGCGCGGCGGCCCCCCTGTGGTGCAGTGAACTGCGCGGCTGCGGCGGTGTGCTTGTCTCTGCACCCTCTGCCCGTCTCGAGAGAGGGCCACCACCAAACCAGCTGTTTCCACCACCCGCATAGCGCTCCATCCGATAGCCCCCCCAACAGCAATCACCCGATCATCACATTCAGCCATCACTGGGACCAAACCTGCCTGCCCTTCGGGCCGGTTGGTTTCAACTACAAGGTCGAGTTGGTCTTAATTGCAAGGCACTTTTTGCGTCAGATCTTTTATGATTTGTGAATGTGGATAGCCGGGGTCAGGTGTGCTAAGGGGGACCATTTGGGAAGTATAGTGGGACAATTGCTTGGGGAAGGTGAGAGCTCACTTTCTTCAATCTTAACAAGGTTATGCCATTGTGAAAAACGCTCAATGCCACCCACTTAACAAATTCATCATACTGAGTGATACTGAATTTCAATAAGCAAAGGCCAACTTCTCTCTGACCTCTAGAACACTCGTTTACTTGCATTTTCTAAAATCAGCGGCATCTCGAAGCAATTTCACCCGATAGATCTTATCTAGGGGTTGGAATTTTTACGAGCCCAATGAAGGTTAGCAGGGTTCTTCCTGCCTCCTTTTCATGAAGTCTTTGTAGGTCCCTACACTACAAAAATGAAATGGCACACTTCGACAGAATGCCCAGCATTGCGGTTCAGAAGAATCCGTTCAAAGCTCATTAACTTTTACTACTTGAGGTAGCGTGAAGCTGTAAAACTTGGCTGATCGAAGCAATTGCTGCCTAGTATCTTTCAGTCTCCATCTTTTGGTTCATTATTGAAAAGATATTATCTGCAGGACCACTGGCCCCTCCTATTTGTAAGCCTACTATGCGGGTAACTACGGTACGAAACACCACAGTGCACTCACAGAGTCTACAAGATCGTCTTCCAGCTTTGCCTGTGAGACCTCTCTCTGTCTTCTAACTAAGCCGCTTAGTAACTGATTAGAACAGCAGGGTTGTAACTGTGAGAATAGCTACTTTGTTTTACTGTTTTTACCCCTTACCAATTCAAATGTTCCAACAAGTAAACTTGCAAACTGAAGTTTTGATTTACTGGTTCAGAAGGCGGCTCAGAGATCAGAAAACTGTAGGAAATTTTCGGCAGTGAGATGAGATTGGAGAACACAATATCAATGAGACTCCCTTCAGAGTTTGGAATTGAGAATAATTCGAGAGGGATGTAACTTTAGAACAAGTTTGAATGGTCTTTGATAAAAGTCTTCATTTAAGGAGATTTATTAGGTAGAAAAAAAATTGTCTACCATGAAAAATTCGGCACAGGGGATAGGAAAAGCAAAGGTTTGTTCCCGTTGTACATCGTTGTACAAGCAAAGATGAGAGAAAAACAAAGGCATAGGTCTAACTTTCAGAAAGAAACGATCCGAATAAACTAATAGATAATTAAAATCAATAATCATTCACGTTGGCGGAAGTGGTGTAGTGACAAGTGGCGAACCATAATATGTGCTTGGTCACGGGTTCGAATCCTGGATCGACATCACCTAGGCCAATCGAGCCTTCCACTCCTCCGGGGTCGGTCAACTGGTACCAGGATCTTCTGGGAAAATAAATGCATTGACTTGTTCATAGGCTGGCCACTGCAAGTCATTGTATAGGCCACATACGCATTCAAACGCCACTACAATTTTGAATGGAAGTCGAATGCATGAGCGTATCTCTCAGACGGGATTGATGAACACCCCAGGAGTTTAGATTTCACTTACGATGATGCCAGTCAGTAGTCCCTCAATGTATGAGCATGATTTTGAGAGTGAGGAGCTGATGTCCAAACATATTTAGTACAGTTGAATCATGAGAACACACGGTTCCGACCCAGAACGCTTCAGACAAAAACTTGAAGCAGACTGAAGTCAGGGAAAGAGAAATGTTATTCATTGAAGGCGATGAAATCCCGAGAGTTCAGCATTTAGCGCTGTCGTAGCCATGAAGCCTTCGAGTAATGGCACCACCTTTCTGACATTACATTCTGTTACCGAAGTGTGCCGGAGCTCAGGCTGAAGGGTAAAGGTGCTCTTTCTTCGATAGCTGAAGGAATACCACAGATGATTTTGTGATTGCGAGGTCCAATTTTCAACACCTTGCTCGTATAGGACACGGTATTCCACGTCCTGGTCGTTCGAATAGTTTTTCGGAACAGCAAACTGGCCTGATAAGTGTTAAGAAAGCCTTGCTTCGTTACGATGGGACCAGGAAAGCTGTGGATAGCTGGCTTCAACGTTTCGTACGAAAAAATGAGGTGGTTCTGGTGACTGAAAGAGGGCACCACGAAAAAAGTGATTTAAAAAACTATTCTGGAGTGCATCGAGTGTTTTTTCAGAATTCCACATGTGCACCTCAATTTTGCAAATGCCTGTTTTTCATTATAATTCTCATTATTCTATTAATTACGGCCGAGCTTGATAGGGAAACTGTAAATGCTGAGTAAAATCTAGAGGAGTTTGAGATTATCACATTCCATCTGCTCTGACTGAATCTGACACAGCACGAAAAAAGGCTATTAAAGGGTACTCAACAAAAGATTGGTTGGAAATAAAGTCCCTTTCTTTCTAAGAATCTTTTAGGTACTTCTCGAAAATAATTGAAAATTAATACTAGAAATAGTGGATAGTGCATCGGAATTGGTAGAAATTGGTATAACTAGACTGATGAAGAAAAAAAAAACTCCAAGATATTTGGTTTTATATTCCGTTTTTTATGTTCGAGGGTTCCTAGGATTCCTGGGTTCCTGGAGGTTTATTCACAGATCACAACCTTATACGAGGAAGAAGGAGGGTTGCCGTGGAGTCGAACTTTTTCGGGGACGGGACTTTCTTGCGTCCGAGGATGCCCGCGGCAAGTTGCGCGGCGAAGTTCGTGACGATTTGTACAGCTCTGACGCTAATTTTCTGGGCACAAATTCGAAGTAGAGTAGTTCAGTAGGGTCGCACGATCCTTCTGATCTACTTTACTTCAAATATGGGCCCCAGTGATAGGCGCTAAAGTCCTTCAAATGGTTACGAACTTCGCCGTGCAATTTGCCGCGCGCATCCTCAGACGCACGTAAGTCCACATACCCAACCTTTTGTTCGGCTTATTGCGCAGTTGTGCCAACAATTACACGGCCGTCGCAGATGCCAAGCTCCACAGCTTCAATTGAACTGAGTGTTTCTGAAGCTCTCATCTTGGCATTAGTTGGTTACAACTTCTAAGCTATTTTCAATCATAAAAGTCATAAATTATACGAGATTGGTTTCAAGAACCAATTCTTTCTACTGTACGAGCGTTTCGAAGCTTTTTGTTATTTTTCAGGCCTAGCAGCTCACTTTCAAAGTTGTTGCTGATTTTCATTAGACATTTCGAAAGCAATGGTTGCCTTGGTGAAAGGAAGCGGCCATGCAGTACCAGGCGAACAATGTGAATATACCTGTTGACGCTAAAACTTGCACCACCCACCCACCAAGTTGTACCCTTCAGTACTCGTGGATGGCTCATTTCATTTAACACGAAACTTGCAGTACATACATGAGTAGAAAGAACGTTCATGAAGGGTGTTTTCTAAATTTCGCTGGCATTCAATGTTTGTCCTCTCGTAGTTCCTTCCAAATCGTTTCACTTAATGGGCAATGGTGTCTTTCGGTCCAGTGATATGATAAGTCCAGCAGAGAAAATTTCTGAAGTGGCCCAGCGAACATCAAGTTTCAATGGAAGACGAATAATTTCCTCTTGTAAAGGACGAGCTTTTTGTTCATCTTCACTGTCTTGTAGCTACTTTTGGACGTGATTTCTGGGCCTAAAGTAGGTTCATATGAATGATGCTGTCTTTTGAAACTGAATTGATTTTGACAGTAGAAACTCAAGAAACTGATCGTGATAAGAGTACGATTCTCATACTTTTCTACAACTTCGAAGTAATCAACTGAAATGAAAGTAACTCGAGGCCAAAGCATGGAAGGGGATATTTGGGGGATATTTCCACTTTGTGTACTTGAAGCAGCAGTGAAATTCTCTTACTTGGCAGAAAATAAATATAAATTTTTGCTTTGAAAAATTGGCTCAATCGGTTTCGGTGATTTGGAATTCTGAAAAATTGTATCGTAATCAATCATAGCGATTTTCCATACTATAAGTACATGTAACTGACACACTCAGTGGTGAACAGCCAGAAACGGAAATGCCCACAAAAAAGTATATGAGATTTCCAGTATGTCAAGGCATTACCAGTATATGAAAACGTTAGTGCAGCCCACAAAACCTATAACATCCAGGAAGGCTTATCTTTTGTGCAGAATTGATGGGAAAATGCCCACTGGAGCCCATGTGAATAACATGAAAAGGACATGACATTAGTATCTACCCGAAGCGGACCCTGACTTTTCTGATCCTTCACAGGCAACCTTGAATTACTTTTACTACTGCAGCCGGCTAAGACCAAAAAACTCGCTGTGAGTGACTATTGGTTTGACGCATGTGTATCTACAATGGAATTCATAACCTCTTTGCCGGGAGACTGGCAGTAGGAACGGTTTTGGGTAATCGATCCGCCGCACGCGGCTGTCGCGGACCATTTGCCTCGTTATAACAGTTCTAGCATTGTTCATACAGCTCAATCGCGGTTATTACTTGTGACATGCTTCTACTGTTAGTTCCCTTGTTCCTGAATTTCTTGCTTGCTGCTGCATGCTGCTACATTCCTTCGCGTGCGGCGTCTCTCTCGACTCGACGCGACAATTTCGTTTCTACTGCACCCCACTCCCCCCCCCCCCCCCCCCCCCCCCCCCCCTCTTTACCGGAGCGGTGAAG